ATAAAATGTTCACAAAAGGAAAGGGAGAATACCTGCCAGATCATAATTCCACAGGGAGAAGGATGCAGTGAAAAAAAACATCAGGGCTAAGATAAATTGGATGGCAATAAACTATGTTACTTAGTGTAAGGACAAGTAAATTTAATTATTTCAGGTCCAACTCTGTGATTAATTTAGGCACCTCTGAAGGCCACCAGACAGTGACTTATATGTCTGCTTCTCCCTTCACTCTACAGGGAACTTAAGCACTTAGGAGCACTGGTTCATATCCCTCCTCTTCTCCCCAAGGCACTGAAAATTTAAAGTCACAATGTATCCAGCATTTAGCCTATTCTGCACTGGTTAGTTCTCAAACTGACATGTTCATTTTCAAGCTTGTCAGCTTCAGGAGATATATATTGGTAGATTTCAGAAGAGTGCAATAAAATGTTGAATTATTTTGAAAAAAGAATAAATGGAGGAAGAAAAAAAAAGATTTGAGGAGAAGAAATGATAGTTACATACAAACACATAAGCAACTCTTATAAGAAAAAGAAAATCAAATACTTGAATAGTACTGAAATTAGTAGCTTAAGGTGAAACAGGAAGAGTGTGAATTTGCTATTAGAACAGGTATGCAATTAGAATAATTTGCTGATGGAGATTTTGGAAATATTGTTAGGGGACATGTTCTGTGCTCAGTATGTGCATCAGGAATGATTTAGAAGTTGATTTAATCAAGTCCTGATACAATACATAATTCTAAGAACACTTCTAATAAGCCATATTCTGCGATTCTCTATCTGTGATGTCATGTATTATCTTTAGTATTTTCAGGTGGATAATGGGGTTATAATAACCTAGAGAGGAACATGCTTGCTTCTGCTTAGTAAGTCTTACAGTCTTACTCTATCATATATAGCTTAGCACTTCCTATAGTAGTAACTGGAAAACATTGTTTCTGTAGTAAGTAATGGCAATCAGAGCTAAATCAAAACTGACGTACTATGCCACTGAAAGAAAATGTTGGCATTTAGTACAGAAAATCAGATACACGTAGAAGTCTCATACATGCCACAGAACACTGATGGCAGCAAACAACCACAACTTGAGTCAAAAGAAAATTCCTCTTACTCACATGTTCATCGTAAAGCACATGTTGTTTAAAGCCACTGCTTAAAGTTAGCATGTGTTTAAGTCCTAAACAGAAAGATTCTGTGTTTGCTTACATAAATTGGGACTTGATTACTTATTCTTACAAAGTGAAATTCATTTTTTTTTTCAGAGGATCATCTAAGGTCATGTGGAGTATAAGTCTCAGAGTGCTCAATAGCACCAAAGAAACATTATTGCAGGTTGGCAGTTATACAGTGGCTGTTGTGATGTATCAACATTTGCACCACATAGCCCCCTTGGGGTCATATGAAAATACCAACCAAGATATGTTCAAAGAGCTAGCAGAAGCAGTTGAGCCCCAAACATGACAACATCCAACATCTTCAAAATAAAAGAATGATTTTATTGAGCGTGTATTTTCATATCCTGAAATGAAGCTAATGTAAGTGGCAACATGTGTCAGTCAGAAATTTGATCAATAAACTTTTTTTAAAAGAGGAGTGAAAAATCTGTATAAGTTGTTGATACAGAATTCAACACTGTTCAGATTTGAAAAATGGTAGTTTGCACTTTGAGATTTGCAAAGGGCAACGCATTTTTTACCTTTTCACAGAGAAGGTAACACACTTTGTCGTATTCAATAGCTTATGGTCAATACAGTGTCCACCACTGCCAAATTTTGGGTTGCTTGGGAATCAGTGACTCTTGGACTGATTTAAATGAATATGGACAGGGAAATGTATTATGTGCTTAATTCAAGACGAAAGGAAAGGATGATGTACGTGGTTATGTTGTTTATGTTATAGGAAAGATGGCTGACATAATCACCTTTGTTCCAGAAGTAAAAATGAATTCTCAGAGGAAGGAAGAGATTTTAATGGTCTGTATTTTTATTTAGATAAAAGCAAGTCTGTTTTCTAGAAAAAAATCATTGTGGCAATTGCTAAACTTTTGCATTTTGCCCTGCTCTATTTATTCACAGCCTAAAGATCAAATGCTCACATTCTGTTTTGATTTTTAGGGGAAATTGGGTAACTGTGCATACCAGTCCAAATGTTGTTGGATTATTTTAGAAACAATATTTATATTTTGAGTTTTGCAGAGGCCAAAAAGAACATTTAGGTCCTAGAGAATTTCATGTGTTTATTAGGGACAAATTCTGCCTTGGTGGAACTTGTGTGTATACATGTTGGAGCTTCTCCTGCCTTCTCTATCTTGCCTAATGCCAGCAATGGCCAGACAGGATGTGGCATCATTCTTGTCTAACTCACTTGGTGAACACAACAAAGTCTTTTACTTTGCATGTGCACATATATGTAGGCATATATACAATGGCTGCCGGAACAGGCAGACTCACTGACATTAAGGGTGAATTAGCCTTTTTTTCTTTTTTTTTTCTTTCGAGGTGCAAAGTAATCCCAATCTTCCTTTTTTCAACTAATTAATATAATGCAGAGTTAACAAAACCACATACAATTTCGAAAATGTAACACAGGCATTTGGGACACAAACTCTTCTATCAAAGTGTGCTCTACTGAGTACACAGACATGAAGCCCAAAATCTTAATTCAAAGTCTTGAAGGAAAGGAAAGGAAAGAAGAAGAAAAAAAGTAAGTTCCTCCTAAATTAATTCATGAGGAAAAGATACCTGAGAAAAATACCATTTTCATATTTGCTTATCAATGTTTGTGGGACTGGATAAGACAATCTCCTATTAAAACTATCTCAAATGCCTTTAATGGAGTTTTCATAAATATTATTAGCAATACTTCTTGAAGTAATTGTACATTAAAAAAAAATACTTTATGAATTGTGAAAATTACTGAGTTGGCACCTGCAGTGACTGGAATGCTTTTTTATCCACAGAACAAGGGTGGCAGCAGTGTAATCTTCCCTATCCTATATTCCCCAGCATCTCACCCTTTACCTGGATACACCACTACAAAGGGTGAGGGCGTTATGGTCGTTTACTCTGCATTCCCATTCACTTGTTGCCCTCTTTCCAAAAATATGGTTGATGATAACTGAATTAGAGCTGCATTGAAACAGCCAAGCTATTTCATGTAGAGTATCTTCTATCACTACTTAAATCATGGTCTGTAATCAATTGGGCTGAGTTAAAACAATAATGCTTAACTTGCAGTCTGTTGGTGGTCACTTAAATTATCTATTCCTGGCCTGTCAAAGCCAATGTTACTTAGATAAGGGCAATATTTCATCTTCTCTGGTTAATGTGTAGACCATAAAGCAAATCATAAAAACATGAAGAGAATTAAAATTAATAATGCAAATTTTAAAACAGCATTGGCATATATGCAATAATTAATTCCTTTTTAAATTATTGTTCACTTCAAGTGAAAGGCATTCACTGTAAAGCCTGCATAGCTGGGCTATTTCTGAGTGGAATGCAAGGAGATTGCAGCCTTTTGTAAATCTTGCATAAGTTACAATGTTGCATGGGAACTACCTGATCTTCATAAACATGACACTGTGATGCACAATTTTTTTAGAGAGGACACGGAAGAAAAAAAAATCTTTAATGAATTGAATGGTTGCGTAGCAGCGTATCTGAAATCCCATATGAAGACAAATATTACTTGAATCTTTGCACTAACTTACAGAATTTGGATCTGAAATAGCAAGATGACAGTTTATGTACTGATTTTTTTTTTCCCTATTCACTTGTTGCATATAGCCCTCTGATTTAAAAGAGGCTTTTTTCAGGTAAAGAGTTTTTTCTTTCTCCTGAATGAAATGGGATTGGTAATGTTTCTATAACAGCGACAGTGCGCCTGACATTCTACATGCTTGGGAGAGTTTATTATCTAGAGGTTTTGGTGGATCTTCAGATTGCTGGCACATGGGGGAGTACTGCAGCCATTCTGTTACAGCAGATATAATGTCGAGGGACTTTGTGGAGCTCCGAGACATAGTATAGGGTAAAAACAAGAGTTATACTCATTTAGGTATAGCATGTGTTGTCTTTTGCTGCTTTGGTTCCATGTTCCCCAGGAAGGAAGCACAGGGCCTTCTCTCTGTTGTAGTTAGATGAGCTAGCAGTACAAAGCAGAAGAGCCTTTCTGTTCAGAGAATTAGATGGTCTTCAAGTACAGGCTATCTTATACCCACTTCTAGGGTTTGCCAGGAAAGGAAATGTATATGACTGCATTCATGGCTGTAAGGTCAGACCTTAAGTTTGGAGGTAAAAGGTTGATTCAAAATAGGGTGAGCAGAAGATTTATCGCATGTGCATGTATTAAAGAGACAATGGCTTTGCGCTGTTTTCAGTTTATTTCTGATTCATAAGCTAGCATCTTATTAATTATTGCATAATTCATTTTTCTGTTTCTTATGTTAGTGTTTTCATTACTTTTTCTGATACCACTGACCTCTGTCTTTTGTCATCAATCTACACAGAATCACCACTGTGAATGGGAGGCTTAGTTATGTATACTGAGGGACAAATGAATCTTAATATATATTTGCTGTATTCTATTTCCAGTTTTTATTGAAATTCTTTATATATTTTATACATTAAGTGCTCTTATTGTAACACTCAAAACCGTTGTTCAAGGCCTTTGGAGAAGGAGCAATAAATTATGTACCCTAATAACTGAAACTGGAATACTTGTGGTAGTTATTTAATTATCTAGATCACCTCAAAGACTATTAAAAATATATGTGCAATAGTATGATTATATAATAGAATTATGAAACTGCTCATTATGAAAACCCATACTTGCATAGACTTGAAGTTTCCCTGTGCACTTGGTTTGAGAATTTGGAACAGGAAATAAAATAGGGATGAAAAAGAGAGCTGTGATCGGAAAGGAGAATTAGGCACCAGGAACTATGGTGGTTTTGTTCCAGCTCTTACACTGACTCTGATACTTCCATTTCTATAGCGCTTTCCATCTCTGGATCTCAAAGTGGATTATAAAGAATAGTGACTTAAACCTTCCTGCACCTCTAGGAGATAGGTAAGCAATATTATTCCCATTTTACAGATGGAGAAATTGTGACACAGAGAGGCTTAGTATTTCTTGTTCAAGTTTACTTAGAGGGTAGGAAATCAAGAGTTCTGACACCTATTCCTGTTTTATAAGCATAAGTCCATCCTCCTTTCCATTTAACCTCTCTGATTTATATTCCCCATCTGTAAAAAGAGGGATACTGGTAAAGGCTTGGAGAGATTTTTTTGCACAGAAATTTCTATGTACGTAAAAGGGAGGGAAAAAAAAAAAAACAAGGAGGACAAAACTTGCCACTGAAATCTAATGCGTTTTGCATATTGGCAGAGGCTATTTTACAGCTTGGGACGAGGATTTTTGTAGGTGGTGCAAGTTGCAGGTGTTCTGGACCCTAATATGTAATCCTTAGTTATTGCTATAAAACGGCCTAATTCAAAAGACTAGAAGCAGCCGGTTACTCAATATCTATTTTATCTGAAAGAAATAATACACAGATTTTGTTGTATACCTTGATTACAAGTCAATAGCACAAATGCATAGCGTGAGACAAAAGTAGAAGGAAAGTAGTGCTACATGAAAGCAACAGTTTTGTAACTGTATAGTTTTATCCCCTGAAAGTCCTACTATGTTTGTACTATAGTATGAGTTCTTCAGTGGCAGAGAGCAGAGAGCAATCTGGACTACTGTACTTATTTACAAGAGAATTGCAATTGTTAGTCACTGGGCACCCTATTAAGGGTCAAATACAGCTCTTATTATTTTAATGACTGTTTCTTGTATTATTTAAAAAGATATCTGGAAAGATAATTGATGTGATCATGTACTGCATCAAAAGATCAGGAAGATTCTGCTATCATATTAAGCTTAACTACATTATATAAAAGATGTAAAAATATCTTGCTGAAAATTTTAAAAATCTTTAAAATCTGTTAGTAATTTTCTAAACAACTGAAACATCAAAAACCTAATATATTAGATGTGGTTTTATTTTTAATATTAATAATTTTAATATTTTTAATATAAATAACATCAAGCAAGGGTGTTAACAAACACCCTTGTTAGTGTATTTTCCTATAATTAATCTAACTTCCCTGTACTACAGTAGAAACATTTCATATGTTTACTATTGAATATGCACCAAGTATAGCTAATGTATATATTTACATTAAATGGAATGGAGATTGGATATGTTTGTGCGTTGGCATGCAAACATCCACATGTGTATGAGAATGGCTTGTTGAAGGGTTCATTATAAAGTTAGGAAGACTTCTTTTATTTCAGTGTTAACACTTCATGCCCAGCCATATGCTGAGGTTCAGGCAGGGATTTAGTTGATTTGAAGCTAAGGTAAAAATCTTATCATTACAGCTTCAGTAAACAACAACAATAATAATAGTACTTCAGCAAGTGATCCAGTTCCTTGTCTCACCTTCATGTGTTACTGAGATCAGAATTTAACCTAGGGTCTTTCTGAATCCTAGTACAAATCATTTGTCACCTATGCTCCCAATTACAGTTAAAACAGTCAGTGTCTTGAGGTAATATAGTTACCACAGCTGGTGGATTAGGATATGGGTTTTGCTAATGCATTGACCTTCTTCATCTGTGTAACATGAGTTAATTTCCAGCAAGACAGTAAATGCTGAAATTTGAATTGTAGCACTAATGCACCATTTTTTCATCTCTCTGTCAAACCAGACTAAAGGGTCAGTTGGTGATGAGGATAATGGTTCACTTTGAAAGGGAAGGAAAACCGGCTTCTGAATCTTTGGGGAATTTTAGATCTTGCTTCAAATAACAAGATGCACTACAGGAAAAAATAGGCTTGGAAATTCCGGTAATATTGAGCCTCCAAGTCTGACTACTTGCTCTATTTTATACTGATTCTATATGCACACACTGGAATACTTGCCATGACATGTTAGAGAGAATAATAAAACTGCATGTGAAGTTTGGTTTTCAGACTGTCAAACCTCAAAAAGACTTTTCTCTGAAAAGTGAATCAACATTAAACTCTTTGCTACAATGGGAGTTTTAAGCAACATTTTGTGACAAGTTTTGATTGTTTCTCTACACTCTAAGAAATACTAAACCTATAAAGTGTTGGAGACTGATTTTTTTTTTTTTTTTCTCAGAAGTATCTTTCTTTCTTTCCTGCAGCACGGAAAAGGATATGCTAGTCACTTCTACAGGACTTACCTGAAGCAGCATGATTTGCACAAAAGTCGACCAACAAAAAGCATCAACTTTCAACTTCATTATCTTGGCCATCCAGTTCTGTGTAACTGAAGGATTTGTGTGCTGTTGGAGACGTCATGGCCAACAATAGGACCTAATTGCTCTCAGCAGGCCTGAGAAATGAGTTGAAATGTGTAAAACTGTAGAAACTTCAGAGGCAACTGATCTTGCCTCTCTGATCAGTGTGTGCCTGTTTACAGCACTATATATCTTTCTCGCTCCAAAATGTCACTGAGCCCTTTAGATGTTTATATTCACCACAAGAAGCCAATCGTACAGATAAAAGAAATGTGCATTATAAATGCAATATCACTGTTTTAAACTTGACTGTTTTATATTATTTTTGTGTGATCAAGTGTTCCCCAAACTATTCCAACTTTACAAGAGAGATTGTGATCATGTTCTTTTCACTGTGGGTCATAAAAAGGTTGTTAATCTGAAGACTCACAAAATTATCAAAGACATTCTGTAGTTTATACACCGTGTTGCAAAGTGTTTACTGTACTATTTCAAAGCTTCTAAATAAATATAAAATATATATATATTATATTATATATAATTTTCCGAAAAATGTGGTACAACTTAGCTGATTTTTAAATGGATTCATACAGTCTACACCATACACTAAAGTGAGAAGGTAATTCAGGGTTCCTAAGCTATCCTTGCTAAAAAACAAAAGTAAAATAAACCTTTAATAGTACTTCCCAATATTCGTATTTTGGTCAATCCTGTTTTTCTTGTTTAAAAAAAAAAAAGGCTGTAAGCAACAACATTTTGTCTAAAAGTTGTAATGAATTTTCAATGCCAAAGATGCAGCTGTCAATATTACCAGAATGAGCGCTATGTACTATCAAAAGTATAAATCACTCTCCATTATTTTGATTATATTTCTATGGTTTTTAATTTGAAATCACAAAATCTTTTATAAAGCTCTATAAACTCACCTGTATATGTTGTTAAAAAGAACACTGGGTGTCTGTACATTTTGCAATGTAAGATATAATGTAAGTGAAGTTAAGTATTTTAAGAAAATTATCCCGAACTCATAAGTATGCATACGTACACACAAAGACATGTATACACACACATCTCTCTTCAGCATAGTTTTGTGAAACTATACAAATATATTGCCTAAACAAATACTTCTCTTGTGGCTAGGAATAGTTATTGATAGAAGTCAAATTACAAAGGCATAGTATATGCCAAACTATTGACTCTTTTATTACAAATGAGATTTGAAATTAGGAACATGGCACGTTCTCAGCTGACCCTTCTCTCACTGGAGTTAAAAAGAGGTTGGCTACTATCTTTGTTGGGAAAAGCATTAAGCCCTTGCATATAATCTTTACATTCTGTGATAACTCTTATCGTCTGAAATGGTATCTTAGAGCATTTCTTTTTTTAATGAAATATTGAAAAAGGCAAACTTTCAAAGGTAAAGTTTAAAATTACTTTCATGTCCATGGAGTTTAAGTACCATCTACTAAATGTAAAAATCTAGTAAAATGTTTTTTCTTTTTTTTCTTTTTGTATTGTGTTTTTTTCCCACTGTATAATAATATCTGTCAAATATTGAAAACAAATGATAGAAAACTGTGTTATCAACAGATACCTAGCCAAATTTGAACCAGTGCTTAGGGATGATTCAATACTAAGAAAGACACTAGAAAGCCTCGCATGGACCGCAGTGGAATTTGGATAGCACTGTTATATAGGAATTCTGGTAGGCCCAGCAGTGCTGTCACAGGATGAATGAGGGGTGAGAGAGAGGTGGACTTTAGCCACTGCAATGTACTAATAGAGTTAAGTTTTTCTTCCTTTTGTTATTTTTTTAATAATGAAGGTTTCTATTAGATAAAAATATGTAAGTCATCTGTATGGAAACTGTCCTGGATCCAAACAGGACTCCTAATGAATTTGCAGGAATTCTTTGTACAAGCAGCTACCTGGACCGTGCCCTGAAGTTGCTAATTTCATTAATCTGAACAAAATATACTTGTTCCACACTTCTAATACATATTTCTAGCATATTTGTATAACTACAAAATATTTATTGGGATCATTTTTAAAATGTATATATTATGTAAAACAGCCAAAACAAAAAGCACAGACAATAGCTATTGATTTGAGCAAACAAAACAGTGAAATGTTTCTCTAGCTTTACATAACGGCACTTTTAGTTACCTACACACGTTGTTAGTTTTGTGAAGAACAGCAATGAGATCTGTGACGTATATTTTGTTTAACAGGCTCTGTTAAATTGTTGTTTCTGCTTTTAAAGCAAGGAAGTCCTTGCCCTTCATGGAACTGTTTTTTTTTTTCTTTTTCTCCAAGTCCTATTATTATGAGACATATACTGTTAATTAGGGTTGTTTTCGTCTTTGGAAGGAAAAATTTTTTTTTTCTTTTTCATAGACAGTTGAAGTGTTTTTATTTAATGAAACTGCCTTCACAGTTTGAATGCCATTTTTGGAAAAACTTAACCATATCATGCCATGTTATTCATTTCCATCATTGTACTTTTTCCATGAACTCAGTATGTGATAGACACTTGTCCATTTCATTTTTTTTTATGTTAAATAATCTAGACATTGGTCTTTGTACACACAGAAGTCCTCTGAGTTCATCGGGAGAGTCCCAAAGGGAATAATGATTGGATGCAGAACCTGTTGCCTATGTTTAGGCAATAGGAACAGGAATAGGAACAGGAAGTGTTTAACTACTATGGCCTGGGCTCTTAAAATGTTTAAAAACTTAACTTTGGTGATTTCCCTAGGTCACTGTCTATTTCAGTATGGTAACATTTGATGACCTGAGCTGTAGGGCCCCTTAAAAGAGAGTATGCAACTGCTGTATCCCAAAAAGAGTGCTAAGAACCATGTTTAGCAGTACAGAGGTTCAATTTGTTGGCTATTTCCATGTTTTTACTGGGGAAGCTGCTCTTCATATCCAGTCAACTCCCATTGAAATTGACTTGTTCAGCACCTACATGTTTTTGATTTTGCTACTAGGTGCCTACTTGCAGTGATGGGTATGTAAATGCCTTTAAATATTAGCCTTCTGTATTAGCCTCTTCCTTTAAGCGTGTGTGATGCAAATACCTAAGGACTAGATTTGCATATTGGACAAAAATAAACTGAAGTAGTCAGCAGAAAATATTTAGATTAGATGTTAAGGAGAAATAGCTATAACCATCAGCTGGAATAGGCTTCTTGAGAAGGTTCTGGAATTTCCTTCACTGAACGTTTTAAAGAATAGCTCAAAAAATACCTGTCAGGGATGATTTAAGTGTACTTAAACTTGCCTCAGAGAAAAAGCATGGACTAGCTGAGGTCACTCCCAGCCCTGTTGTTCTGTAATTTCTCTAGCAGGCATACCAAGTTTTGGAGAAGGTTATCTGTACACTGCTGTAGCGTTAAGAATGTTCTGTCCTTCAGTTAGGTGTTGAAAGCAATACTTAATGTACAGATTTGCAATTTATGAGCATAACAGGGCAAGCTGCCTGTGTGAAGAACTGTCTTTGGAGTCAAGTGGAGTTCCAGCACAGAAGACAGGATCCTATAAAGAAAAAGAAATGGAGTCAGATATATAAACCTTTTCTTTTTTAATTCCTGGTTTAGATACAAAACAATGGATTTTAAGCAACTTGCCTATTCAATTTCTTCAAAACCTGTCTTTAGTTTCTTCTAGACTGATTTGTCAAAAACTTAATAATTTCACTACTTGAAGTAAAATTTGATTATCTAATACAGGTTTTTACTAAACTGCCTCTTGAGAGAAAAAAATGAGCTAGTTCCATTAATATATTCTCAGCTGATTTCAACAAAGTGTAGTAATTTTTCAACAATATTGTTGCAAAAGTAAGTGGAATGATAGTGCACAGATAAATACAACTTATTTGTGATGATTACACTTCATGCATAGTAGTCATTATGTGGGGTGGGGGGTATGTGTGTGTGTGTATGTAATTATAGTTCAAAATCTGGTAAGTTGCCGCTGAGTTTTTTCTTACAGGAGTACTCTCCTACCAGTAAACACAAACATAAGTATAGAAACACATTTATGATATTAGAAAGTTAGACTTCTTCCTTAACGTGGAGCGGAGAGTTGCATTCAACGTTTGAATTCAATCCTTTCTTCATGCATTCTCCCAAAATCAAACACACGTTTCAGTATTCGACTTGCAAAATTTTACCTACTCATAGTAGACTTTTTTTCTTTTTTAATGTACCTCAGGGTAAAGGGCAGATAAACAGATAGTCTTCCTAGGCTGATAAATTGTCATTGCAATTTTGCAAGGCTGTTAAATATTTGTGTGTCTTATACAGAGAAAGCTGGTCATATCCTGCCGTTGTTCCTTGTTCAAGTCTTGAGTTTTGTGGCACGAGGACTTCTAAATTAAAATTTATAAGAAGACTTAGGGTCCAAAATAAGCATCTTTGATATACATTTAGTCATCGCAATTTGATTGCAAAACATTGGCATCAGAGGCGTCTACAGAATAGAAAGCTGTTTATTCTATTTGAAGTAAAGGCAGACAGTAAGACTTGGTTATAGTTTTATGCTATGAGAAATTCTGAAACTGTGAGTTAAATACATTGCACTGATCGCTGCAGTCAGAACTCAAGTGCTTATTTAAGATTTCCTTCATTCTATTTTCTCTCTAATCTGCTAATCTGTCTTGGTATGAAATGGATACATATCTATAAACAAATACACATACACATATCCATTAAAAATTCATTGTTGAGCATCTGTTTTTGTAGATATCCTCATATGTAAGAAATGAGCAAGAACTAACTTGGACAGCTTTCTTGAATTGAAATTGTTTTGAATTTGTTAATAAAGTTCATGATACTGTATGTTGGCTGAGACATCAGGAAAAATTAAGTCTATGTAGGTATAGTTCTCTAGAAAGCAAATGCTTCACTTCAGAAGCATCCAGTCAAAAATATAACAAATGTGAGTGCTGGAAATCTTTCTGAGTCAAGATGAAGCATACTGTGCTAAACTTTTTTGTTCTCTGTGTCAGCACTGATTAAAATGTCCTTTGGATGTAAAACACTTCAGTTAATCAGAAGATCCCAACAATGGCAAACAGGATTCAGGTAACATATTTACTAATGAATACTAATGAATAACTATTTACTTCTGAATGAAAAGAGCTGAAGACAAAAATGGTAAATATATTTTAAAATATTTATTTAAATTACATACTATGGAAAATGCAGTTAAACCCAAATATTAATGGAACATTATGCTTCTGAATACAAGCACTTCAAAGATTAAAGTTCATCTCATGATCGGTTTTAAAGCATATTTTCGATAACTCATCTTTGGGTTGCAGTAACAGTGAAGAGTAACACATTGTATAACAAAGCCTTATGACAACATGATGAAGGGAATGTAACCAGACCAACCTTAAGTTTTAAAAGTATTGAATTCAAACATTCAGTTGCAAAACTGAACTGTGCTTCATATGCATCAGAGCCTAATTCCATTAAAGGCAAAGGTCCAAGCCCTAGTGATCTGAAGGAGAGCTGAAGGAAGTTTTCATTTCTTTCTTTACACACGTACATTTTTAAACTAGAACAGCTTAAAATAATTTGACACCAAAAATTGGAAATTTCACTGGCTCTGCTTTTAACAAGCTGTGCAATCAAATTTTGAAATTTGGACAGGGCTGTATGTGAGTTTCAAACAGCCTTGCTTCTGCTTATCTTAAGACAAAATAGCAAAATAAATTAAATTACAGCTCTGTTCAAATTTTCTAAAAAGACCAGGACAGAAATGCAGGCCTGAAAAGATACACTTTTTTTAAAAAGCAAAGGATTGAAAATCGATTGAAACAGAATATTCTTTCACCATGGTTGAAAATGTGAACAAAGCAAGCAAAGAAAATACCACAGTAATGAATGTTTTGGAAAGTTTACTTTGGAAGATAAAAAAAACAGATCCTACACATGTTATTTCCTTTCAGATCTAGACTGAAAGATGATTCCAATCACCTTTTCTGGTCTAACTTCAGAGTATACAAGCAGAGGATAGAAGTAATCCTCCGAAGGGCTGCATGTGCACCTCAGGGCACAGGCTATTCCCAGTTGATCAGAATAGAAAAAAAAGACCCAAGTGAAGCCTAATATCAAAATATAATCCTAATTACAACCATAGTAATTCCAGCTCCATCACTAGAGCTTTTCCAAATAGGTATCAGAATAACGTAGAGCAGAGCCTGCATGGGCTGCTGACAAAAGAGCAGTGACATGTCCGTCTTCTGCTATGATGAGGAAAAAAAGGAAGAGGGCTACTTTTTCTAGTCTCACAGATGGACATTAACTGGTACTTCAGTAGTGCTTTGTTCAGGAACACAAATATCATGAAAGAGAAAGATTCCACCATGAGAGCAGTATATTTATTGTGGCTTATGGTTTCTGCAAAAATGAATGCAATCAAACACTATCCTGCTCAAACCTCTGAAGATGAGGCTAAACGATGCCCTTGGAGCTCACAGCCATTCAGTTTTTGTAAGAGGCTTGATTTGATTTATATTCTGACTGTAAACAAAGAGGTAGGACAGAGAGAGAGAGTGAGTGCTGGAAGTAGAAGATAGTTAATTAATATAGTCTAGGGAGAAAACGCAGCATACCTTGTAATGATATCATTAAACCTCACTGAGCTTCTGGAAAAGAAAAATGAGTTAAAAATAAAAAATAAAGCAGCTCCTTGCCGCTCCATGTACGTATTTAAATTAGACAAATCATCGGAGCTGAGGAGCAGTGGCACGTGAGGTACCATATTCTTTCTTTCGAACCTATTGTCAAGGCCGGCTGTGGGGGCCGGGGCTCGCCGGGGACAGTGTCGGCAGCTCCCTGTGGGGCAGGGCCCATCGCATCGCCCTGCAAGGCAGCAGGGCACCGGGGGCAGCTGGGGCAGCCCCAGCATCAGGCGGTGGGGGCGGGACGGGCAGCCCTTGGTCCTTGGCTGGAAGCAGCTCCCGGGGGCCGGCCACAGCCTCCCCGCAGCGCATCGGGGAGCCTCTCCCCACGGCGCCGCCGGGCCGGGGCCACCCAGTCCCGGCAGCCAGACCTCCAGCCCAGCCCCTACCGCGAAAACTTATAATTTACAGATTTCCTTACCAGACGTATTATTACATTCCGCTTAAAATTGTAGTTTTTAAAGGACAGTAATTCACCGTGCTTTTCAGCGTTAAGGCTAGCTGTTTGCTTTCGTGTTTCTGTCATTGTGTCTAGTTAAATAATAGATCTACCAGCTTAACTTTTAAATTATTTTAAACCTTTAGACTTACAGGTGGAGTTCAAGCAGCCCTCATCATGTGGAAACTTCCATTAAGACTAAAGGTTTTTAATTTGCTCCTTTAATCCCTATTGTAAGTTGCCTTGTTTCAGTCTTACGTTTATGTCATTTTATTTTGTAAATTTGATCCAAGAGGTGCCACATATCCAAAAACAATTCCAGTCATAACTAGGTGGTTTTTTTCCCTTTCTATTTTTTCCCTTTTTTTCCCTTTTCTATAAATCTTTTCCCGACCTCCAGTATTCAGGGACAAGGGGATAAAATATAGTAACAGAAAATATTGGAAGGCTGCAAGGTGTTTTACTGGACAGGGGAAAATTCTTCCCTGATTTCCAGTTTATCTGGAGTAAAGTGGAAAGCGCCATTTGCATGCAAACCTGTTAGGTGTTTAATCCTTCATTTGCAGAGTGAAATCTACAGCTTCCCTGAACTCGCTGCTAATATGCACAGGTCTAAAGCTTCAGGAAAAACAAAAACAAACATTTGTCTTACTGTTCTCCTCCAAAAAATAAGCTTTAGCAGTGGAGAATCTAGACGTTCATTTATTTCAAACTTACATCTTCTATTGACTGTTGTTCTGTGTGCTTTATATCCTTTATTAGTAAGCAAAATATACTCCAGTGTTAGGACAGATGCTTGTATCACTATCCTTATTTTATTGAAGGCATAATAGAGAAATTTCATAATGCAGTTTATTGCAGAGGTGGGAATAGAACCTAGTTCCTAAATCAAAATAATAAGAAAGAACAACAACAACAGTGATTATAATATAAAATAATGTAAAACCACATGGGTGCTACAATATTGAGATCTCCCCACATGCAGGTTAATGAGCTAACTAGTAGTCTAGAGAGCAATATGTAATGCGGTGCCCTTGCTCTCTCTGTCAAAAGAATATGTAATTATTCTGTGCAAAATGGGCCAGCTTCAAAGGGAGAGATGAAGAGCTCTTCATCTCTCTACTCAGAGCCTAAATCCTCTTGGATTTGGTGATTAGGGGGGGCTTGGGAAAAGAGAACTGGGTTTAGATCCCATCATATAAAAGAAGGATTTGGCCTCAGGGGCCAACACCATGGGCAAATGCTATGATCAATAAAACGTGGTATAAAAAGAAGCCTCCATCAGCACTTCTTTGGTAGTTTTTTTGTTCATTACATGCATTCTCAGAACACCTGAAAAATAGGATCCTTCAGAAACCCCAAGATGTTAAAGACTAGCTACCTAAGCTTTCCAGAGCGGGCAGTATGACTTTTGGAGTATTTATTCAGAGAAATCTGAATTCTGTATTCAGGTCTGTCTCTGCCTGAGATGATTTCTGCAACTGTTTCCAATTTAGAAGACTTTCTAAACAACAAATTACAGCGTACGGTCTCCTATTTTGCTGTTCCATTTTCCAAAAGCACTTAAACATTTCTTGATGCAGAAACGAGAAGTATGTGCCACCTTTTACGGCTAAGCACTGGCTAAAAGTAGACTCATTTGCTCACTCTCAAGTTCAGTGAGTATTTAGTATTTTACAAAAGTTTCTACTCAGTATGTATTTGTAGATGACGCACAGAGTGATGCTAGGCATAACCATTAGAGAGTTTGCCCTCTTGCCAAGGGGAGAGGGCAAGAGAACAAACCACATCTGACATGTTAATCATATAGATGAATGTATTACTAGAAAATACTCAGACATAATGGTGGTATGGGCAGTCTGAGAGTCTGATACTAACAGAATGCATTATTGGGAAAGGCTTAGAGGTATTTACCCTGGCAGATGTCGAAAAGTTCAGAAATTCCGCACAATTTGATAAATTCCCAGAAGGTAAATTTTTCCTAAGTCATCCTATTGATGACAACAGAATTACTGTACCGGTTATGCGGGGATACAGTACTTCTTTGTTATTTCCCTGGCCTGAGTAACTGCACTGTAAATTAGAAAGACAGAAAAAAACAAAATAAGAATGTGACTTACAGAATCGCTGATGGTTTTAAAAAGAGGATCTACCCATCTTCTCTGACTCCCTTGAACTACTTTGAAGATGCAATAATAAAGGCATTTTAATTGGCATCAGTAATATCAAATATATTCAGTTTTGCACGTATCTTCTTTTCCAGGGAAAAACAAAAGGAGGACATAGCAGCAAGGTTATATAATGACAAAGTTAACATAAAAATAGGTACGTAGGAAAACAGGACTGGTAGTGGCCCAGTGCCTGGGCCCTGAGTGCACTAAGAGGAACTAATGTCCCTGGCCAGCTTCCCCTGGGACTCCCTCCCGCCCCAGCCCTGCTGCCACTGGAAGCCCCCGGCCCCGCGGCGCCCCAGTGTCACAAGGTTGGTGGAGGTGGTTTCAGTGGGGTCCCCAGTACGCATTTGTCTAAGCTGTTCTCGCAGATGGCTCTAGCGCCAGATGCAGCACGGCTGGGTTGTAAAGGAGGTACCCCAAAGAGGATGGAACAAAGAGTATTTCAGTGTGACATGGGGTTTTATGTCATGATGGTTTGGCCTCCTTGCTGGTATGTTGTTGTAAAATGCTAGAACATTTAGACTGCAGAATAAT